GTGTCCAGGGCCTGGGGTCTGGACGGTCCCGCAGGCTCACTCCCGAGCAGGGTGGTGACGTCACTCAGGGATGAGCAGAGTCACTGTCAGCCATTTCCCACGCTGTGACACACGATCACAAGCCTGGTGGCTTTGAAGCAAAGGAGTACCTCGCTCTCCAGTACTGAGGAGTGGATGCTTCAGAGCTGGGGTGCAGACGGGGCTTGGGGACCCTGCCTTCCCGCAGCAGCCCTTTCTGCCACTTCAAGGTGCCTCCTGGTCTCCACAGATTTCTCACTGCCCACTCGGTGAGCCCAGGGTCACCTCCATCCTACGGGCAGGGCAGGCAGCATGGTACATCCCGGGGAGGGATGGGACATCTCTGGGAGCTGCGACTCAGCCATGTCCTTCACCCTGTCTCCACTGTCCCAACAGCAGTATAGAGTCAGGGACCTGGACAGTCAGGGTCAGACCCACCGATCTTCAGTGTGCTGTGTTGAGTGTGATGGCGTACACCTTTGATCCTAGCACTCGGGGAGGCTGAGGCAGGAGGACCCCAAGTTTGGCTCCAGCTTGGGCACCTAAATGACTTAGCGAGACCCTGTCTCAAAATAAAGCAAGAGTGAGGGATAGAGCTGAGTGTGAGGGCCCTGAGTTCATCCCCAGCATCATAAAAGAGGGACAGGGAAGAGAAGAATCTGCCGGGGCTTTGGTGTTTGTGCTCACTGGCTCCCTGCAGTGCTCCAAGAGGTACAATGCATCAGTCAACAGCTGGGGCCAGGCTGTGCTTCGTAACAAAGAGTCCCTCAGGTCCCAGCAGCTTAAGACAAGGCAATGCTCTCCGACTCAAAGGCTGAGGCCCAGAGAGGCCTTGCACAAGGTCCCACAGCTACAAACTGAACTGGGTTTCAAATCTAGTTCAGCTAACTCTGGGAGCTGGAGCGTTGCCATACGAAACCCCAAGCCCCAGACAGGAGCTGTTCACCCCGTGGGAGGGTGAGATGGACGTGCCCAGCTCCCTAGGCTGCCGGGGGACTGCACGGCTCAAGTGCTGCATGGACCCAGCCGAGCCCTGGCCCAGACGCTCGCTGCATTCTGTTTGATGACAGAGGATTCATCGGAACTCAGGGCCAGTAATTAAAATTCAGGAGATTTTAAAAACCATCTTCTCATGAGCTGGGCGTGGTGGTGGACCCCTGTAATCCCAGCACTCGGGAGGCTGAGGCAGGAGGATCATTGCAAATTCAAGACCAGCCTGAACTGCATAGGGAGACCCTGTCTCAAAAAGACCAGACAGACAGACAGACAGACAGACATAGAGACAGCGAGCATCTTCTGTATGTGAACCTGTGAAAGCAGTGAAGAGTCGCCACATTGGGAGGCAAAGAATCAGTGTCTCCACACGGCCCATCAGTCTGGCCCAGCGTTTGGACCAAGCGTGCCCTCCCCTGGCCTGGACGCAGAAAACAAGCCCGTCTACACTGCCTGCCGGGTTCCGCAAGCACCTGCACCGCCCCCACTACGCGCTCCCGCGGCGGTGCAGAGGTGAATTGGGGACACCAGCGCCTCGCGGTTCGGAGAAAAGCCCGGGGCAGCGGCACCTGCTGGCGGCGCGTGGTATTGCAGCTCAGCTCCTCGGGACCGGCGAGCCCTGGACGGAGGAGGTCACTGTTGGTTGGAGCGGACTTGAGGTCACACGTGAGGCTCCTCCCAGGCCGAGGTGACATCGCGGGGAGCCTGGTCCTGTGATGTCGCTTCTGAGTGTCCTGACTGCCCGTGGTCTGGAGCCCTGAGAGGCGCGGAGTGGCTGCGCCCAGGAACACCTGGCCCTCGCGCTCCCCGAGCCTGCTGCCCGCCCTGGGCACCGGCTGCCCATTTCCAGTCGCCTTTGTTTCCCGGGCTCCTGCCGCTCCCTGCAGCCTCTCTGGAGACCCCTCCGCTGGGGCTCTTCCGGAGTGGCTGGCACAGCTGGGCACGCGGGGCCCCTTGACCATGCTGTCAGTGGTCAGCGGTCAGCGGTCAGCGGTGGCCCCAAAGAGCAGTCTGCGAGCCCCCGCCCTAACAGCTGGGAGTCTCCATGCGGGGCCGCCTTGGTCATCGAAGCTGAGGTCCCCAACACCAGCAGATGGAGCGGGATGCAGTGGCACGCTCACTGCCACGCTGACCCTGACTGCTGGGCGACTCGGGTCCATTACCTCCTCCCTCTGTGCCTCAGTTTCCTCATCTGTAAAGTGGGGACAACAGTATGACCCTGTCTCAGTGCAAACTCCCGGCCTCCGAGGCTGGAGGCTGTCTGCATCCGCAGAAAAGCAGACATGGGGCCCACGCCGCCCCGTGGGGCCGGACACGGACAGTGTCCCCTGGGCCCTGGTTTCCCTCGGGATCGTGTGCACCCCAGGCCTGGGCTCAGCCTTGGAGACAGCCTTGACAGTCCGGTCCTGTCCGGGGCCACAGCGGCCCCTGTGGCCGTGCCCCGCACCTGCACCCCGCTCGCTCGCCGCCGCCTGGCGCCCACCCGGATCCTGGCGCACGCAGGAGCGAGGCAGACAGCGGGGATCCGGCTACGCGGGCCGTCCGAGGTCCCGGTACTGCAGGCCAGAGGCGCGCCCACGGCTCCCTAGCGTCCCACATCCTAGGGGCGCAGGGTAGGCGCGAGACGCGCAGAGCCCGCTCCTCGGGAGCAGGTGGCAGGCAGCGTGGGAAGGGGACAGAGGACTGGACATGGACGCCCCCGCATCTTCCCGCCCCTGACCGGTCCACTGACCGGTCCACTGACGGCCCTGCTGCACACGGCTGGGCCGAGGCTGTCAGGGTCCCAAGCACCCGCTTCCGCTCCTGGCCCCGGTCTCAGAAGCCTGGGACTGGCCCTTCGGGCGCCCTCCGCCCGGCTCCGGGATGAGGGTCACTGGTGGCTCCGGAGGCAGGCGAGGCTGCAGTTAGGCGAGTGGTTCCCTGCTCTCCCCAGAGAGCCAGGCTTCGGGCCGCTGTGAAGCGACGAACACTGTTCAGGGAAAGCGCCCAGAGACACACACACCATTCCTAGTGCCCACGCGCTGCCGCACGCCTGTGACCCCAGCTCTCAGGAGGCTGAGGCAGGAGGATCGCTACGAATTTGAGGTCAGCAGCTAGAGAACTCAAGGCCAGCTTGAACTGCTTCAAAAACAAAACAAAACAATAAAGACGGACAAAACAAAAATACCATCCTAGAGGGGCAGCTCCCAAGCCAAGCTGTGGATCTGGAGGCCCGATCCCCTAAATCGGACCCGAGCTACAGCGCCGGGTCACGTCGCCCCCAGCAACATGCGTGCAGCGCTCGCCCCTCAGTGGCCACTCCCGGAACTGCCCGAGCGCCGCCCTCCGGACCGAGAGGAGGGACCCCACGGGGCTTGGTCCCCAAATGCAACAGGCAAGGTTGCACCAAATCACGGGGTGGGGCGTGGCGGCCCAGGCCTGTCCCCCCAGCATTCTGGGTGGCTGAAACAGGAGGGTCGCAGGCTGCGCCTGGGCGAGTTAGTGACTCAACGAGCCCCTTCCTGTCTGAGAGGGCGGGCTGGGGATTTTGCTCAGCGGCATAAGCGCCTGCCTTGCAAGCGCGTGGTCGTGAGTTCGATCCCCGGTATCGATTAAAAAAAAAAAATAGGGTCCCGGCTGGAGCGCGATGCTGCGCCCTCCACACGGGCGCACACGCACGCGGTGCACACCCGCAGGGCACCCGGCTGCCTGGCAAGCTTTCCCCTCCCGCGAGGCGTCATGGCCGTGTGCACGCTGAGAGCCGCCAGGGCCGGGCTCCTCCACAGAGGGCTGCCCTGCCTAACCAAGAAGGCTCGAATGGGTAGGGCCGACGCCCGGGTGTCACGGATGGTATCACTGGGCGCTCTGCTGGGGCAAACCATCCGTGGGGCACTCAGACCCCACCACTCTGGTCACTGCTCGCGGACGCACATCCTGCGCGATGGCCAGGACTGGTTCTGCCATCTACGATGGCCAGGACTGCTTCTGCCATCTACGACTCCCCCTGTGGTGACACGAGGCCAAAGGCAGGACACTGGGCCAAGATATGACAGCCATTACCTCACATGCCCAGCAACCCACGTGGGAAGCTGAGGCAGGAGGATCTTTCAAGCCCAGGAATTCAAGGCCAGGGTGAATTTGAGCAAGACCTGTCTCAAGAATAAAATAAATAAATAGACACTCAGGAGGCTGAGGCAGGAGGATCACTGTGAGTTTGAGGCCAGCCTGGACTACATAGCAAGATCCTGTCTCAAAACAAAAAGCCAGGAATATAGTTCAGTGGCACAGTGCCTGCCTTGTAAGTGTGAGGTCATGAGTTTGACTCCCAGTAGAAGTGTGTGTGTGTGTGTGTGTGTGTATATATATATATATATATATATATATATATATATTCTATCTCCTTAAAAATTACAAGAAATAATAAAAATGTTCACTGAACCTTAGCTATTTAGGTTGCCAAGAAAGCAATCAGAGATTAATAAAATGCACTAAAGCACCCAATACAAATCCTTTAGCTATATCCTGGGGCGAGAAGGAAGGGGACACAGGTTAAGAGGTGACAGCTGGCTGGGCAGGGGTGTTGTGCAGATTTTCAGGGCGGGTTTCTTCTGATACATTCAGCAGGGGCAGTGTCAGCCTTTACAACTATTTGAACTTCAGGGGAAAAGAAAATTTAGACAATCCTGGAGACAGGCCCCAGGGCCTTTGCACTGAGCAGCACCCCAGTCCCCTTTTTATTTTGGAGTCAGGGTCTATCCAGTTGCTAAACTGCCCAAGCTGTGCTCAAATTTGCAGTCCTCCTGCTTCAGCCTCCAAGAGTACTGGAAATACCACATGGCCAGGTCCGTTCTCCTGACCTCCCGTCCTCTGGGAAAGGCGTCCATACAGACCCGTGCCCAGACCTCGTGGGACCAGCTCAGAGGGCCACAGCTTGAGTGACAACCCCCCTGCCCCCTACAGGCAGCTGACCCAGGAGGTGGAGGTCGGAGAACATGCCAGATGCTCTGCGCTCCGTTTTGTAAAAGGTTTATTGCTTTCCCAGTGAGCTCACTACTGTGTGGTGAAGCTCACTTCTCTTCCAGTAGAAAAGGGCCGGGCTAGTCCAGTTTCGGGAGGGTCCATATGTCCCCAGGGAGGCCAGGCCCTGAGAGCTGGTGTCCGGCCTGCTGGGTACACAGGATATCGCTGGTTTTGGTGGCCAGGGAGAAGCACTGACCAGCACGGGGTGGGGACAGGACAGTTGCCACGGGCACCCAACCCCCTCGGTCCCGAGCCCCACAGCCTGGCCCTGGGTGGTGGCCTGTCCCATGCAGGCGGGTTGCATGTGTCCTGGGGGACGGGAAGGGACCTGGGGCAGCGAGGAGAGCTGTCAAGAGCCGGTGATGCAGGCCAGGCAGGTCCCAGAGAAGGGGACTGGTGTCCAGGCCGCTGTGGTCACTTGGAGAGAAGCTTCTGGAACAGCCCAGGTCGCCAAGCCTCTTCCAGTCCCGGGTGCAGCTCCGTTCCTGAGTGGCCCGGGGCGGGCAGGCGCAGGCTCAGGCCGAGGGCCCCGCCAGCTGCTCCTGCAGCAGGGGCATGTGGGGGCTGGGTGGCTGCTCCGACCAGGGGGGCTGGTCTGGCTGGCTCGGGTCTGGCTGGCTCGGGGTGTCCGTGGGACCCTGTGTGGGGAAAGAGCCGGGTCACTGCCATCAGGGCCACCTGCCCACGTCCCTCCTGTCCCGTTGGAGCAGTGACTGGCAGCTGTCACGACAGCCTCCCCAGCTCACTAGGCATCACCTGAGCCCCTCCCCACCCCGTCTGGACACGGGGAAACTGAGGCCCAGACAGGCTCAATGACCTAGTGAGCAGAACCCAGCCAGGAGCCCAGGCTGGCGGGGAAGAGGCGTTCTGGCTCCATCAGGAAAGGACCTCAGTGTCCACAGGGAAGTGACACTTCTTGTTTTGTTTCGGTTTTTGAGACAGGGCCTCGCTATGCAGTTCAGGCTGGCTTTGAACTCACAATGGAGTCCAGGCTGGTCTGGAACTCACAGCGACCCTCCTGCCTCAGCCTCCTGAGGGCTGGGATCACAGGCTGTGCTGCCACGCCCTGCAGTGGTGTGTCCTCGGACCACAGTCAGGGAGCGGGGCAGAGCGGGGACCAATGTCCCCAGGAAAACACAGGGAGGCCCCGGGACCACTGTGCGCAGGCCAGCCACCAGCTGTGGCCATCTCCTGTCACGGGCAGGCGGCGGTGGCCCCAGAGACACAGGGAAGGATGGACGGGCTTGTAGTTTGACACTTTCAAAACTTCTCAGCTGAAAACAATGAGGAAGCAGACTGCAGGGAATGGGGCAGCTCCTGGCTCCCACCCCACGCTGTCACCAGAACCCCAAACCCAGGGAGGAGGCGGGAAACATCAGGGGACAGACCAGGGGGCTCCCCACGCTGTCACCGCCCGCCCTGCAGCCCCCACAGGAGCCCTCGTGAGAAAGTCACTCCCAAGGAAAAAGGGAAACGAATCCCCACACATGTGACAGAGCCACAACAGAGACCAATTTCTCCTCCACCCTCTTCCTCTTCTGCCTGACTGACACAGCGGGCTTGGACTAAAGGAAAACTCAGAGGACCCCTGTAGGGTCGCCCTGTATGGCTGCCCAGGCTGCTCACTGCACAAGGACAGCCAGCAGACACCTGCCTGCTAGGTGTCCTGCCCTCGGCAACCCTGCCCTGCCCAGAGGGTGCTGCCACTCTCATTCATAGAGGAATCCTGCTCTGAGCTGGCAGCAGCCTGTTCTCCCCTCCTCCCGGGCAAAGCCACCAGAGCCAGCCCCTCGAACAGGTGCAGAACAAAGGGGGGCCTCCTTGGGGCTGGACCACCTGCAGGGTCAGCTGCCAGGTGCTCGGCCCTGCCCGAGCTGAAGCTGTCTGTCAAGGACACTGTGTCCTCCCCATTCCACAGGACTAGAGCTGGGGTGACCCCTGGCCACCTCCGAACTGGACAGTCAAGAGGGGCTCTGTTCTGATTCAGGAATACAGGCCAGATCCAGTTACGTCCACGGAGGGGCAGCTGCGGCCCTGACCTCCCACCCGCAGGCTCCATCTGGAGTCAGAGCCCCACAGCCGCCATGTGCCCGGGACAGGTGCCCGGGCAGGCTGGAGCACCTCTCGCCCCAGGGCCCACGGCCCACAGACAGTACCTCGATTGTTTACGCTCAATCCAGAAACCCGGCCCCAGCCCCCGGCCTGGACCACCAGTCCGAGCTCAGCTACACCTGTGCCCTGGGCTGGACCAGCCCTCCTGGACCTCAGCTGAAGTTTCTCAAACAGTGCTCTCAGACATCTTGTTTGTTTTTCTTTCTACTTGTTTTGAGACAGAGTTTTGAATGACTGTGTGTGTGTGTGTGTGTACCAGGAATCTAACTCACGACCTCCCCCTTGCCAGAGACAGGGTAACTTGCTATGTGGTTCAGGCTGGCCTTGAACTCCCCCTGCAGCCCAGGCTGGCTCAAACTCACAGCAATCCTCCTGCCTCAGCCTCCCCATTGCTGGGATTATGTGTGCACCCCGCCATGCCCGGCTCCCTGGACCTTTTGTTCCAGAATTCCCAGGGACCCGTGAACAAGCATGCTGCTACTGGAAAGGCTGAGTCGAGAGGATTGCTGAGTTTGGAACCCAGTTTGGGCAAATTAGTGAGACCCTGCCTCAAAAGCAAAACACAGAGTGCCGGGTGGAGCTCCCTGGCAGGCCGGGTGCACCCTCAGTACTGTGCCCATCGGCCAGTCCCCAGCAGCTCCAGGGCCCCGAAGGAGTCGGGCCAGCAGCCCTGCTTCCTGCAGGGTCCACCTCGCAGGCCTGAGGTCCGACCTGACCTTGCAGGCGGACAAAGCCCGAAAGTCCTGAGTGGCCCCAGAAATCAGAGACACGGCCACGCCTTGGGAACCGAGGCCGGGGAGCCCCAGGCGCCCGGCGGACGGACGGGAGGGGCAGTTACCTGGTACCCACCTACAGCCGGGCCTCCTGCAGCACGGCGCCCTTGGGAGCCGACGTCATCAGGGACTCAGAGTGGGCCTGCATGGCCTCCTTAGCGCCTGGGCCCTTTTTATTACCTCTCCAAAATAAATAGCACTTCTCCTAGAAGACAACCAAGCCCGTCAGGGTACTGGGCGGGCACGGGGTGCAGCAGGGGCCCCATTTCCAGAGCAGAAAGGACACAGCGGGGTACAGGTCCCATAGCCCCTCGGGCCGGAGCTGCTGAGATGGGGAGCCAGGCCAGGGGACAGGACCCTCGGGCCGGGGCCCAGCCTGAGATGGCCCTGTGGCCTCGCCAGGGCTGCTGTGAGGCAGGGCCGTGGGGACAGCGGTGGACAGTGTGGAGCTGGGGACAGAGCCAGGGCGCAGTCGTGCTGGGTTTGTGCTCTACCACTGAGACCCGGCCCGCAGCGGGATCGTAACTGGGCCTGGGTGCCCCCTTAAAATACTTCTGAGTTTCCTGAAGAACTTGGAATAAAAATATCTTTGAAAAGAAACTAGTGGGAGGGCGCCTCCCAGTGGCTGGAGGACCCTGAGGTCGGGATCTGGGGGAGGTGGTGCATCTTCCACGTGTCCCCAGCCAGCTTCTGACGAGGCTGGGGCAGGAAGGAAGGAGCCACAGGCCAAGGATTTGCTTCCACTCGAGCCAGCCCTGGCTGGGAGCCTGGCCTGTTCCCTTGGTTTTAGGTCTTTCTTTTCCCCTGAGACAGGGTCTCACCAAATCACTAGGTAGCCCAGGCTGGGCTTGAACTTGTGATCCTCCTGCCTCAGCCTCCCAGAGCGCTGGATTACAGGTGTGCACCGCCACGGCTCGCTTTTGTCCTGCGTGCCCATGCCAGTCGAGACAGCCCGGAGCTGGTGGAGGTGTCACACGCCTGAAATCTTAGTTCCAGGAGGCTGAGGTAGGGCAGGTTTGAGGTGGGCCCGGGCAACACAGCACGACCTTGTCTCCAAGTAGAATTTTTACCAGGCTGGGGGCGGAGCCGAGTCGTACAGGGCACCAAAGGAGACCCCGTGGGCGCGTCCCCTGCAGCCCATGGCTCCCTGCCCAGCAGCTAAAAGCATTAGGACCAGCGCATCCGTGTTCAGAGCCATCGGCAGCGAAGTGACCAGAGCTGGGGGCCCCGCGGCAGATGCAGAGAGGTTTGCCAGCCCGCAGCAGCGCGCACGCGCACAAGCGTGCTCAGAGGGAGAGTGGGGAAAGCAGGAGAGACGGGGTCCCCAGAGCAGCGGGCAGGGGCAGCCCGGCCCAGGAAGGCCTCGGCCCCTTCCGTGGGGCCCTGTGCAGTGGCTCCCAGCACACCCTTCCAGGGTGGCCTCTCCGGACTGCGCCCTGGCATGGCGCTCCTGCCTCCTCGTCCTGGGCCCTGTGAGCACTGCCCCCTGGTCACCCTGTGACCGCAGTGACCTGCGCCATGCAGGATCCTGGTCTCGACCCCACCGCCTGCTCGTTCTGGTACTGCAGACAAACGGCCCAGAGAAAGGCAGGTCTGTGGCCGCCCCTCTGGTCCCTGCTTCTACAGCCGGAAACCCAGGGCCTGCTCACTGCACTGCCTCCTGGTGTGAGCTGCCACCCCTGTCCCCAGACATCTCCCTTGCTCCCTAAAATCCCTGCCTCCACCTCTTCCAACCCGGGTCCCAAGTGCCACACAGCGATCTAGTGACTCCTCCCTTTAAGGCCTCCTGCAGCCTCTGGTCACTGTGGAAATCGGTCCCACACTGCTTACCTTGCCTCGTGGGGCTGCACGGCTTTGCCTCCTCAGCCACCCTGATCCTCACAGCCCCAGCCCCAGGGCCTTTGCATAGGCAGGTGCCTCTCTCCTAACAACCACAGCTAAGCTGGATTCACAGAGGCCTCCATAACTTGTTTGTACTTGTCCCCAAGGTCCCTGGACAGGTGCTGTCCAGTCTGGATGCCACAGGGCCACGAAGCCCCTGACACAGCGTGAGTCTGTGTGGGCCCCGGCTGGGAGGGTAACATGCACAATTTCAAAGGCCTGATTTGAAAGAAAAACACTGCAAAAATAGTATATATTTTATATTGATTACATGCTGCAATTATAATATTTTGGATATATTTGCATTAAATAAAGTTAGTCATTAAAATTAACTTCAGGAGAATTTTTTTTGGTACCAGGGATTGAACTCACGACCTAGCGCTTGCCAGGCAGGCGCTGTGCTGCTGAGCTAAATCCCCAGGGTCACCAGAAAACTGAAGGTTCCACACTGGGCGCGCACGCAGCGCTGGCTCCAGCCCACCGAGTTTCCTACCGGCTTTACTTTGGATGAAATCACCTCCTGCCTCCGGCCCTGGATTTCGTGGCCGCCTACGCGCTCCCGCCGGCAGGGTCCTCGCGTCTGCAGCTCTGCAGCGCTACCTGATGACCTCTGGCACCCAAACCCCCTGCACATCCCGGAGTGCCCCCCCCCCCAGACCTTCCGGGACAGGCAGCCGTAGAAACGCAGATGAGACAGGTGCGAAGCTGCAGGAGGAAAGTGCGAGCCCGAGCCCGCCCGTCCCGGGCGGCCACCTACCTGCCTGCAGACCAGGTGGACGACGGCGACGAGCAGCAGCGCGCAGCCCAGCGTCAGCAGCGCATACTGCACGTAGCACAGGATGTTGGGAACCAGCACCAACTGCTTGTAGAACTTGCTGAGTGGCTCGCCCCCCATGACTCCACTCTGGGGAGGCGGAACGACAAAGAGCTGGGACCTGTACACAGCTGCCACGCCCCTCCGTACCCATCTCATCCCCGGCTCCCTCGCAGGGACTACATTTCCCAGATCCCCTTACAGTTGTACGTGGTTCTAGCCAATGAGCGGTGGACCTGGGCCACCCAACCTCCCCACGTGACCCCCGTCCATTTTTCTCAATCAATGAATGGAAGCTGAGCCTTAACTTCCGGGGGCGGGGCCAAGGAACGGCAAGCGCATAGGGCCATGAAGGATTGAGTGCAGCAGGATTCCGCCTCCCGCGAACTCTCCGACCTGACCTTAGCAGATACTGGTTTGAATCTAGGTAGAGAGCCGGGAATAGAGCTCAGCGGCACAGACCACGAGTTCGATGCCCGGTAACAAGAAAAACAAAAGGGGGTGCTGGGGATTTAGCTCAACGGTATAAGCACCTGCCTCCCAAGCAGGTGGTCGTTGAGTTCGATCCCTGGTACCAATAAAAAAAAAAAATTAAAAAAATTAAAAAATAAAAACTAAAGAAAAACAACCACATGAATCTAGGTAGACTAGAAGCAACAACATAGTCAAAGAAAATACAAAAAAATAAAAAAGTAGGCCCTGACAGGCGTAGTGGTGCATGCCTGTAATCCCAGCACTCTGGGAGGCTGAGGCAGGAAGGTGACAAGTTCAAATCCCACCCGGACAATATAGCAAGATCCAGTCTCAAACAAACAAACAAACAAACAAAAAAAAAAAGCGAGGCCAGAAGGAAAACTTCTGCAGGGGGTGGATAGGCTGGAAGGAACAATGGACTCTTGAAAACCAGCTCCCCTGGACTTTCTCTGGAAACGAAACCATTTCTGAGGGCCCTGCCTCGGTGGCACCCGTACCCATCCCGGGCTCACCTGCGCAAACCACAATAGCGGCAGGACCACCGGCTGGATCTGCCCCGTTTGCCTGCAAGTAAGCCAGACACCCTCGGTGAGAGCTGGGCCGGCCGCAGTGCATGAGCCGTTGCTGGCTCCGGGCAGCCGCGGCTCTGAAGCCGCGAGGCTGTGGGGCCAGGGGCTGGGGCCCACGGGGGTGTGCACAGGGTCAGCTCACCAAATGCCAGCAGGGCATATGTAGGACAGGCAGGGGTAAACAATGTTTCCTTTCCTGTTGTTTTTGTTTCTGGAGACAGGGTCTCCTCCTATGTAGTCCAGGCTGGTCCTAAAATTGTGGCAGCCCTCCTGCATCAGCCTCCTACATGCTGGGATTACAGGTGTGTAGCACAATGTGTAGCACTCTTTTTCTTTTCTCCTTTTCAATTGCCTGGGATGCTGATGCAATATCTGGACCTCTGGCAGCCATTTAAGCCAGAAAAGACATTCAGCATAGCAATCTTGTTGCTAGGAAAACGGGTGGACTGGGGGAACCTGGATCATAAATATCCTATGGGAGGGGCTGTGCTCCCCTGGGCCTGTCTGCCCCTAACATCCTCTCAAAGATTCAAAACCCACTTCTACTAGTGACACTTGTGAGCTGGGGTTACTGCAGGGCCTCCAGAGGGGGTGGGGGCCCCAGCCCTGATCCCCAGGCATGAATGTGGTTCAGCGGCTGTCACTGCTAAGACAGGACTGGCTGACCCACAGTCACTCTCCTCACCACAGGCAGGGAAACGAGCACCCGTGTCCACCCCAGTATGAGAAAGGCCACAACAGCACAGGTCACCATCGGAAAAAAGCAGCGCTGAACCAAATCCATCCCCAGATAAGGTGTGGTGGGCCTCCACGGCAGAGTATCACACAGCCATGAAAAATGCCCATCCCTGCTGCAACTCAGATGGTTGAAGCCAGCCGGGACACAGTGATTGGCATCAGATATAAAAGGTCAGTAGTGTGCCAGGCATCTGTATGACGTGTCCAGAATGAGCACATACCTGAGAACAGCAGGTGGACCAGAGGTCGCCTGAGCCTTAGGGGCAGGAAGAGGCCTGCTGGGGCCCAGGGTTTCATTTAGGGTAAGGAAAATATTCCTAGCTGGCTTCCCCACTCTGATGAAAGAGTATAAATCACTGAACTGTACGTTTGAAAAAGGACGAATTTCATGGTCTACGGACCGAATCTCCAGAAAGCTGAATTTTTGATTTGTTACTGAGACAGGGAGGGTCTCACTTCGTAGTCGGATGGCCTGAGCATCACTGAGCTCACGATGCAGCCCAGGCTGGCCTCAGACTCCCAGCAATTCTCGTGTCTCAGCCTCCGGAGTGCTGGGATCCCAGGCACGCACCACCATGCCTGTTTTAACCCTGTCATTTTAGAAATTAAAAAGTAGAGCAAGAGAAAACCAGGTACTTAAAAAAAAATTGTTCTAGAAAGTGAACAATTGAATTTAAGAACACATGCTTGCCCCGTCAGGCCTTAGTTCTCCCGCAGGGCAGGGCAGGGCAGGGCAGGAGAGTTTGCCTAAGCCGGGGTGGGGAGGGGCGGGCGGCCATGGGAGAGCGCCCGGGGGGGTCCGGGCCGCGCCACTCACCCGATGCCCCGGATGGCTTTCATGTAGAGGCTGAGCTGCAGCTTCACGGAGCAGTTCATGGGGATCCCGGTGACCTGCGGCAGCGGGCGGTGAGCGGCGGGCCGGCGGGGTCTGCCCGGGCTGGGCGCCGGCTCCGCGCTCTGCGGCCGGCGGTGCTGCGCTCCTCCGAGGGCGGCGGGGCGGGGATCCCGCAGCCCAAGCGGAGCCTCCCCTGCGCCCCAGGCCAGGGGTCGCGGTTCTCAGGCGCCCCCTCCTGTCCGCCGCGCCAAGCCACGCCGCGCCTACTTAAAGGCCCGGCGGAGGGGCGCGGACCTTGAGACTGAACCAAGTTACATCTCCACCTCCTCCTTTTTTTTTTTTTTTTTTTTTTTTAATTTTATTTTGAGACTAAATCTAGGTTAACTGAGTTGACCAGGCTGGTCTCGAACTCACAACGATCCTCCTGCCTCAGCCTTCCGAGTGCTGGGATTACAGGCATGAGCCACCACGCCCGGGTTAGAAATATTTTTAAATGAGAGACTTTTTCTTACTAAGTACGTAACAGAAGAAATGACGTACGTATGTCATCAGGGTTGGAAAAGACAGTGAGCAGGAGTCCAGGATGGAGGCCGCAGCGCTAGCAGGTGCACCCTGTCGGAGGAGCCCCTCCTTATCTGTAAAGTGGGGTTCACTGTGCCCAGCTCACAGGATTTTTGCAGGGCAAATGAAGGTGGATGCACCGCCACCCTCAGGGCCACGACACCCTGGGAAGGGTGGCACAAGGCCTCAGCCTGTACCCAGGAGGCATGGATTGCAGACCAGGATGGATGCAGGTGAGATGGCCTCATATTCAGAGGTCACCACGGCCCGGATCTTGGGACAGTGCCCACCAGCCCTCACCAAGGAGCAGCCAAGCCGTCTGCACCAACCACACGTGTGACGCCAGCACCTGCCCTGCTCCTGGCACCTCCTGACGAAGTGTCCATGTCCCTCTCAGCTCAGCTCACTGTCCCTGCTGGGGACAGGCCACTTCCTAGGGGCAGAGTCCTTCCCGCTCTATAGCCACCATGTCCAAATCAGGGGTGCTGGCTCCTCACAGGGAAATGGCTAGGACTGGGCATCTCCAGCACTCAGCCCTAAACACCGGGGCGCGGTGAGCTCAGCCGAGCGATTTCACAGCAAAGGCATCAGGCTGAGACCGTGTCGCATGCCATGAACACAGGTGCTTTCTACTGTGCCATTCCAAAAACTATTGTTGTTTTTACAAAGGGAGGGCACGTGGGAGCCAGCACACAGTTGTCCTCCGGCATCTGGGGGAGGCTGAGGCAGCGGATTTCAAGTCTGGGCTTGGCCTGGGCAACCCTTAGCAAGAGACACCCTGTCTCGGAATAAAAATAAACAGGACTGGACGAAAGCTCGGCGTGAAGGCCCTGGGCCCGGCGGACCAGGAAACCTGAGAAGACCAGTGTCCTGGAGAACAGAAATAGGACCCCCTAGCACGCCCATGGCCCCAAGGCCTGCTGGGGGCGCCCCGAGGCGAGCAGGGGTGTGGATGGGGGCTGAGGCCCAGGAGCTGGTCCCCCGGGAGAGAGGACTTCCCACGGGACAAATTCCTCGAGCGCCTGACTCACGGCAAGGCTGCCTGCTGCCTACTCCCCGTCTTTATAGCGTCCCGCCGAGGCCCGAAGGTGCCTGGCTAATTAGCAGGAGCCTGACAATTCCTAATTAATTTACGGCCTTATGGCCCTTTTATAGATGCTCATAAAGGGTTTATGATAAAACCCCTGGACTATGGAGTTGGGGTAAAGTGACAACCTTGGCCCACTTGATATTCCAGCAGCTGTCACTGTCCAAAGCGCCAGCTGCCACCACCAGCCCCAGGCACCACTCGGTGTGAGCAGAGCAGAGGTGGCCATCACTGCCCACCCTCCCCGGCCTCAGTGCCATCGCAGGGCTCACCGGGTGGATGTCCAGGAAGAGGGCATGCTCCTCCGCATTGGGGTGCAGGCCGAGCACCCTTTCCGCCAGGACCGGGTCCGCATTGTAGAAATGCGGGTGGGAGAGGAAGAGGGGGGCACCTGCAAGGCAGAGGGACGGGGTGTTAGGGCCGGTGGGCGCCTCGGACACCGGAGGCTCTGTGTAGCCCAAGCAGGTGCCAGGGAGGCACAGACAGGGACATGGCACAGGGTGCAGTGACACACACACACAGCTAAGAGCACGCCTGTGATCCCAGCACACGGAGGCTGAGGCAGGAGGATCACAGCGAGTTCAAAGCCAGCCTGGGCAACACAGTGAATTCATGCAGAGCAGTCACCAGTAACCAGAAAAGCCCGTGGCTCATTTCATAAAGGTCTCGGACAAAGCAAACTCGAGCTCATTCTGGTGGGAGAGGGGACAGGAAGGAAGGGAGGCCTCTGACAGCCACCAGGCAGCAAGGCCAAGGGACAGTGCTGCAGGCAGAGGGGCAGCAGAGGCTGGCACAGGGTGAGGGACCTGCATCTCAGGTGGGGACAGAAGGGTGAGCTAGGCGGCTGGAAGCTCGGGCTGAGGGGGGGTGCCCTGAGTGCCGGCCACATGGCACGGACCTGGCCACGTCCCTGACATCTTAGGTCACGTCCACGACGTCACAGGATGGTGCTGTGCTGAGGCCGGACACCAAGCCTACAGGACAGCCAGCCAGCTCAGTGACACATCTGTGACAGAAGTGGCCCCATGGCTACCAGCAGCAGCCAGGATTCCACGGATCCTGGGCCTGCCAGCCTTCCACGGTGACCGCTGCCCTTTCCCAGCGACAAACACTGACTGATGAGCCCCTGAGCCCTGAGTCCTCCCTGCACTGGCACTTGAGGTGTTGGGAAGATGGACAGAGTGGCAGCCGGGTCTGGGGGGCTGAGGCAGGAGCATCACAAGTTTGAGCCCAGCCTGGGGAATTTAGTAACTTTAGCAAGACACTATCTCACAAGTTTAAAGGGCTGGGGATGTAGCTAGTGTGAAGGCCCTGGGTTCAATCCCCAGTGCCGCCCCCAGCCCCCCAACACACACAACGAGCAGCAGACGTCTTGTGGATCACTGCCTCCTTGCATGCTGGGGGCGTCACGTCAAGCACTCTCAGGGAAAAGTCCTGTGTTTTGCACAGCCTGTCTCCCACCCTCCTGTCAGAACCGGGAGCGGGGCCCCACAGCAGGCACAGAGACCCCTTTCCACTGTGTGACACCTCAGGAAAGGCCCTGGACTGGAGACCGAGTACACGGCCCAGCCCCGCTGGCAGCTGAGCTGGGATTTGAACAGTGCCCTGCATGTTGCAAACACCCCAAAGGAGGCCGCCCAGGCAATAAGGATAATTGGTTTACAGCTGCTTGGCACATCTGAGCAGACCTAATCACCAGGGCTGCAGGCTGCCAAGGAGCCCGCCAGACAAGTCAGCACTTGGGGAGCCAGAGACCGGTGTGGGGCTTGGGCCTGGCAGGGGACTCATGTGGAGTTTTTTGTTTTGTTCTGTTTTGCTTTTTGTCTTTTTGACAAAAAAAGAGTTTCACTGCAGTTCAGGCTGGCCTTGAGCTTGCAAAAATCCTCCTGCCTCAGCCTCCTGAGTGCTAGGATTGCAGACATGCGTCACCACACCCGACCAAAGCGTGTGGAGGTTTTTAACTGGGAGATAAAACACCCTGCCCACGCACACCAGGACACCAAACAGCATGTCAGGAATGTTCCAGAAGCACCCAGGAAGAGAGGGGTGAGGGGGCTGCGGTGTGTGCCTCGCCTAACACCCAGCCACCCTCCTGTCACAAGACCAGAACTGGGCAGAGCCAGTGTCCCAGATCTGTGCGGGGAGTCAGGGGCCAAGAGGCGTCAGACACCATCACCGGCTATGGGACCTGCGGCCTGGCTAAGTGGCAGATGTGGGTCCCCTGCACTGCTGTGTGCCTGGAGATTCCGCGTAAGATAAGAAGGCTCTGCAAGGAACAGGGATGGGGAAAGGAAGGAAGGGGAAAAAAAGACTAAAGGGAAAAATGCAACGAAGCTTTTGTAACTGAGGGGAAGGGGTGGGAGGAGAGGGGATGGGGAGATGTGTCATGTGTGGGTACAAACTCCCTATGCTGAGTGTGGTCATCATGTACCTCTAAAGTGCACCAGTAAAATTAAATTTACAAGAAAATAAAGAGCTTCTAGCCATGGTGCATGCCTGTCACCTGGGAGGCCGAGGCAGGAGGATCATATGTTCAAGCCCTTTAGCGAGACCCTGTCTCAAAATAAAACATAAAGACAGGACAGGGCGTGCCTGTGACCACTTGGGAGGCTGAGGCAGAATGACGGCCTCATGTCCGAGGCCAGCCTGGGCCTGGTGAGACCTTGTCTCAAACTAACAAGCCAACAAAAAGGGGCTGCCCTGTACCCCAGGACCTCAGCGAAGAAAACTTCTTTCCAATAAACACGTCTAAAAGTATCTAACCTCCCTTGCACTTTTGAGATTCCTTGCGGCAGGTGCGCTAAGAGAAAGCAGCATGCGCCCTCTGCAGAAGTTGGGGCGTCACTCCCGCTCCTCAGCTGTACCCCACTGACCCGCTCTCCCGGACTCTGCTTTGAGCGACGCGGGCTCCATCCACTGAGGCTGAGCATGTGGCTCAGCCTGGCCAATTAGCATAGCCTAGCTTGGGCTGCACACCATGATTGGTTCAGTGCTGAGGGCGGGCCGCCGGGCAACCAATCAGAGTGAACCCTGGGACTCGCCAGGTGCACCGGAGGCTGGACCTCCACCAGCTACCTGGGGTTGGCGCTGGCCTGCGGCTGTGCTGGCTGTGCCGGCGGCTGGGAAACCGAGCTGGAGCGTGCGCGGCAAGAGGCGGCTTCCAGACCACAACTCGCGCCGGGCAAGGACCCGCCCGGGAGTTTTAGTTCCACCACCCAAGCGGTGTCCTTTAGGCCTGGCATCTGCCATTTGCCCAGAAGCTGTTCTGGCGCTGTGACCCCGCGGCTTCCGCACTGAGAGCGGACACTTCTGCAGACCCCAGTGAGGTAGAGGGGACAATGCCAGGGCCCTGACAGGCTGACACCGAAACATTCACCCTGGAGGGCCCTGTGCCTCCTGCACCGGGGTACACCATCCTGGCCCTCGAGCATCTCCCTCACGGTCCTGATTCCCCAAGACTCCAGGAGGCACGAGTGCGCTCAAGGCTGCCTGCGGAGCCGCTGTGCACAGCACAGGCCGGAAGCTGAGGGGACACACGGGAGAACACGGGCCCGGTCCATGAAGCACAGTCTCCCGGAGGAGACCGGAGACCCGTGCGCAGTGGGAAGACAGAAAGGATAAAGTAATGGGCCGCGGGTGGTGGCTGTCATCCGGGCACTCTGGGAGGCTGAGTCAAGAGGACCGCAGGTTCAAATCCAGCCCAGGCAACTTAAGAACAGTGAAACCCTGTCTCAAAAGAAAAAGTTTAAAAAACAACAAGGGCTGGGGATGTAGCTCAGTGGAAAGGCCCTGGGTTCAATCCCCAGTACCAAAAAGGAAAAGAAAAAGTTTAAAGACGATTAAGTAACAGAGGGCAACTGGCGGGGGAGCTGGGAGCACCACCAGGATGGGGTGCCCGGGGTGTCTCCAAAGAGGGGACGCAGGGGCCACGCGGAAACATCTGGTCCCTGCCATCTCCAGGGTGAGGTCACTGCACATGCGTGGCTGTCAAGCATCTGAAAGGTGTCCAGTGAGGGGACCTGGGAGTTTATGTGGCTCAGGGAGGCCAAGGCTTCGGGTCAGTGTCGCCGATCCTGTGTTACCATGCAGGCCCCCCCGCCGTATGTTCCCAGGGGTCCCCCAAACAGCGGGGACGCAGCAGGAGAGGGATGTCCTTGGAGGGACACGGTGCGCTGGCACCAGGGACAGAGACAGAGCCAAGGCCCAGGTCACTACCGGCTGGAGGAATCTGCCGGCCCCAGCTCCAGGCTCACACGGCTGCGCCTGGACCTTAGCCCAGAGCAGCGGACTCCAGACTCCAAGATAGTGGCTGATGCTCCCGGGAAGTGGGGTGTGCATCACACAGCGGGGTGTCTCCCTTGCGCCTTACCTCTGTGCCACCCTCCTTATCTTCAGCCTAATGGGATTATCAAGAGGGCAGAGGCCACAGGCCCCCGCCCCGGGTGACACATACCGAACCTGCAGGTGCTGACGTTCTGGACGCCGGACTCCAGGCATGGGCAGAAGCCCTCGTTGGGAGGGTAGACAGAGCCGTTGGCAAACAGGGTGTTGGGGGCCACGAAGCGGTAGGTGGGGATGCCCTGGAACACGCCCTGCTTCTGGTAGACCAGCTTCATGGACCTGCGGAGGGAGGCAGACAGGTGAGGGGACCCAGATGTGCCCAGCTGCCCAGTTCTGCATGCGCTGGCGTTTCCGGCTCACTATTCCCCCGAACACCAGCGGTTTCCGGCACGTGCATGCGCCCTGGGTCTGTACTGCACGTCATCTAGAAAGGAATCAATGCAGGCAGAGGGACGCGCACAGGTTATGTGAAAACACCCCTCCGCTTGATAAAGGCAAGTCAAACATCTGGGAATTTGGGCACTCATGGGGTCCTCGAACCAAACCCATGGCCTGAAGGAGCAACTGCACAGGGTTCCCTTTGGGATGTGCTGTCCTAAGCATGCATGGCCTCATCCTTGTCCACCCTTCCCCATCTCCCTGAACCCACAAACCTGCTCATTGCTGCCCCAGGACCTTTGTATATGCTGCAGCCTGGCCAGGGCCAGTGGCAAGAACACTGTCCCTTCGCAGCCTCACAAAGTAGATTCAGCTCTTCCTCTCCACCGCACTGTCCCTGAACCTGCTTTCCGACCCCAAAACGGAGACCCAGGATGTGTGGGCCTGTAGTGTCCAGGGGAGCCACAGATCATAGGTGACACTCAGAGTGTCACAGCAGAGGTGGGTGGCTAGTGTCTGACACACCTGGGTCTCTCAGAAACCGAAAACCTCTCCATAATGTTTGAAATAAGAATACTGTCACTACAGTGCATCAAATCAAATATGTCGTTTTACCACTGATACTGGAACGCTGTACAGAGCCAGGTGCAGCTGGCACACCTGCAGTCCTAGCCACTTGGGGAGGCTGAGGCAGGGGGAACTCCTGAGAAAAGCTTGGGCAACCTGGCAAGAGCCATCTTAAAAACAAAAACATACACGTGCCCTGCAATGCACTCGTGTTGACAGCAGCGAGACAGTGGTGCCGTGTCACTGTGAAACGCCCTCATTTTAACCCGTGATTGTGTAAGACAGCGCCTTCGTTCTTACACAGCACCCACAGCGGAGGGCTGGGGATGCAGCTCTGAGGTGGAGCGCCTGCTCCTATGTGCAAGGCTCTGAGTTCAATCCCCGGCGCCACACACTCGACAAAACCCGACAGCCACCCACGGAAGTAGGTAGGCATAAAGGGCGCCCTCTCTCGCAGTGGCTCTCACGGGGCCAGGAAGGTACTCCGAGGCACGCGTGGGCAGAAGGGAAGCCAGGCGACACGCTGATGCTCGGACAAGGCGTGGGTAGCGCTGGGGGTGAGTGGGTGCGGACCCTTTAAGAGGCGGGCCCGGAGGTCATAGGTCATGGGGCGTGCCCATGGGCGGGGTCTGTTGGATGGGGCACTCTGGGCTCGGAGCCCAGGAAGAGGAACCCCCACTTCTCCAGAGTGGCCCGTGCAGAGCCCGCAGGCTCCCTCTGACTCCCCTGAGCGCTGGGGGACTTTGCTCATCGCTCATCGCTGCGCCTGGCCCAGCGCAGGGCTCCCTGGGCGTGCAGGGAGGCCGAGGGTCAAGGATCACGCCGGGAGTCCCCCACAAAGGATGCTCCGAGTGGCCAGGGGGCTCCAGGAGACCCCCCTCCCGCGCCGGTGGCCAGGGCCGCCTCTGTGCCCCTCAGCACCCCACGGTGCCCCGCGGCTCGCGGTGCCCCACGGCGTAGCCAGAGCGAATCCGACGTGGCACTGACTGGCTGGGAGGCCGAGTCAGGGCGGTTACCTGCAGGCGTCCGGGCTGTAGAACTCCAGCGAGGTCTCGGGGGTCATGAAGGGCGGCCACATCTGCCCGGAGGTGCCGTTGATCATGTTGCACTGGTCAGACTGCCAGTACTTGACCTGCGGAAGGAAGCGCTGGGACTTGGAGCCGCGTGGCCCAGTCCTGGTGGGGCGGGGCGGGCCGCGGAGACACAATGCCCAGGGCAGCCCCCGCAGGAGCCCCAAGCGTGTAACTGTGACCTCGATTGTTCAGAGGGGCTGTGTCCACCCCCCGCCGCCCCCCCCCCCCATCGCCTGGCCTCTGAGGAAGTCAAGAGCCGCTGCCAAAAACCAGATACAACAGGAACTGGCAGATGGACAGGGCGCCACACGAGGAGCGCCTGCCAGGAAACCTCGGAACAGCAGGCCTGGGCTGTCCCCTGGCAGGGTGAGACCCGGATCCAGAGCACGTTTCCCTCTTCTGTATTCTGAGACAGGGTCTCACTATGGAGCCCAGGCTGGCATCCAACTTGTGGCGATCCTCCTGCCTCAGCCTCCCGAGTGCTGGAATCACAGGCAGGTGCCGCCACACGGGCTACCGAGGCTCCTTTTCTAGCTAAAGTGCACGGAGAGCTTTCTAAGCACAGGGATGCTGGCAGCTTCCCTGGAGGTGACTGTGGCTGTGGGCGGTGGCCTTGCCTGGGGGGGGACAGCACTGCGCAGTGGTGGCCACGGGTCTTGGGGACAGGCCACTGGCTGAATGGCGCATGAAATGCGATGCCCTGACACCTGGCGAAGTCCGGGTCGTCTGGGGTGTGCAGGGGAGGGACATGCCTGGGCCCGGCCCCACTTGTCCTCTAAGACCAGAGCAGGGTGGCCGGCAGGGTCAGCACACCAAGTGCCCAGATCCTGGCCCCACTGTTACTCCCATCATGGAGGACTCGGAGGAGGAAAGGGCTGTGCCCCAGGGGACAGCGGGTGAGGTCCCCAGCCGGACACCCCCTCCTCACCTGGCTCATCCCGTTCCACTTGTCCACCATGTGGATGCGGCTGAGGTTCTTCACCCCTGTGAACACCGTGAAGAGCCCGGAGTCCGAGTTGTTCAACTGGGGACGGCGGGGGATATTGGGTCTGAGTTCAGGGGCAGGAGCAGGGGACATGGATCATCTGCCCAGGGTGCCGTCACAGCGCTGCCCATCCCTGGGCACCAGGGGGCTCAGGACTACTGCCTCACTCGAGGCCTGTCCCTTCCCAACTCAAGAGAGGTGGCTGACCCCACACCCACACTTAAACCCAGCATGCTGTCAGCCCAGCTCTCCGGGAGGCTGGGGCAGGAGGTTCCAGAACACTAACAGCGAGAGCACAGCGCCCCAAAGGCCAATCTGCTGTCACACGGGGATGTGAATGACCAGAGCACAGACAGCACGCTGAACCGCGGGAGACCCTGTCCACCTCAGTGGCTGTGTCCCAGCCTCCCCTGCAGCTGGGGCAACACATGAAATCCTGCATTAGGGAGCCGAGGTTGGGGTCAGAGGTCAGGGGTCCAACCACAGGCAGACCAGATCTCGGCCTAGGCACCCATCAGGACCCTCCCAGTTACAGGTGCCAGCCTCAGCACCCCTGGGGGTGGTTTTGTGATCGGCAGCCTCCCTCTGCCCAGCCCCTTCTGAGGGGCCTGGGTCAGCTGCCCTCGCCGGTCCAGTTCTGCTGACCCAGAACTCCCATGGCCAGCTCTGATCTACAGGACCTCGGACTGAGCCAGGGCCGCGCGTGTGCCAGGCTCTAGCTCCAGCCCTGTCCGTTTTGTTTTCCTTCAGGCTCTCACTATGTCACTGTGGCCCCAAACGTGGCGATCCTCCAGCCTCAGCCTCCAGAGGAGCTGGGATTACAAGCGGGCAGCCCACGCCTGGCTTCTGATACTCTGTTTTGCTCTCAGGGCCCGGCCCACCCCCCACCAGTTCCCACGCTACTCCAACGCCAAGGAGGCGCCCCGGGGCTACTCACCTGCGAGAACAGCCCGAACTTGCCCTTGAAGGGCAACGCGCCAGGGAAGTACTTGTCCATGAGGTCCAGCAGTGGGTCATCATAACCCCACAGGACTTCGCCCACGGTGCGGTTCATGAAGGCGCGCTGACCCATGGTGGTGAACATCAAGGTCATGAGCAGCTTCAGGCTCATGGGCCGGTGCTCCATCATGGCAGAGGCAGCCTGCGGGGTGGACAGTGTCAGGGACCACTGCCCCTCCCTGACCCCGGGACCACCCTCCCACACTTGCCTGAGCAGGTGCAGGCAAGTTAGCTCTGTAACCAGAGGCAGACTTGAGGCTCTGCCCTGGCTCAGCAAAACCTGCCTCCTCGGGCCTTGGGACTGGCTGGATGTGAGCCACGGGGCCACCCAGAGACATTCTGCAGGGGCCATATGCTCTGCAGCCTGGATCAAGCCACACCTGAAGCCGACCAACCCTAGCCTGCTCAGTTACATGAACCCACAAGGTCTCTGTTCCCTGGAGGAAATTTGGGGTGCAGTGAGAGAAGAGAATTTTTTTTCTTTCAAACTCATGACCTTGTGCTTACCAGGCAAGCGCTTAAGCCACTGAGCTAAATCCCCAGCCCGACAAGAGAGTCTTAAGGGGGTCCACTTCTGTATTCTCTCTGTCCTGTCTAAACGCCGGGCTCCCCGGGTGCCTGAGATGCAGATGGGTTTACTGGGGCACCCACCTCTGGAGACACTGTCTTGACTGTTGGTTGATTTTTTTTAAGCATCCCCACAACAAAAATTTGCCACTGCCCTGTCTCCCTTATCTTCCGATACTCTTTTAAGACACTGAGTACACAGCAGGGCTGTTTTGTTTGTTTTCAGGACTACAGGTTGGGCCCAGGGACTCTGCACTGAGCTGCACCCCCAACCCTCTCTAGATTTTTTTCTGAGACAGGGTCTTGGTAAATTGCCCAGGCTGGGCTGGAACTTGTGATCCTCCTGTCTCAGCCTCCCAAGTGCTGGGATTTCAGGAGTGAGCAACCAGGCTCACCAACACAGTTTTAAGAAACCATAAAAGGACCTAAAATAAAATGTATGTCCCTCCCTATGCTGGGAGGCCAGCGGGGCAGGCTGTGGCCAGCGACACTGCTGTTTTTGCTCTGACTGAGGACAGGTTTTTGTTTTGTTGCATTTTTAAACCATCAGCCCGAGACTCTCCCGAGACACAAGGCGCCCAGCCCTAACCCCAGCCCTGCACGGGTTTATGGTGACTCAGCCATGCTGGTCACTGTGTCTGCCCTGGTGGCTCCTGGTAGGCCTAAGACAGAGGGCAGCGTGGGCAGATGTGGCCCACGACCTGGAGACGTGGACACCAGCGGGTGTGGCCGTTCCCTTCAGGGGGACACATGGCAGTGCCACCACCCGGTCCCCTCCTCTGGGCTCTTGGCACCTGTGCCCACCCCAGGGGAGCCCTGAGCACTGCTCACAGGCCTGACAGTGGCACGGCTCTGCTGGTGGACGAGGACCCTGCAGGGCCACTGGGCCTCGCTGATCTGTGCTCTCCCAGGATCCATCCTGCTGTGGGTACCACTGCCCGCACGCGGCAGCCCCACAGCGCCCGGCTGGGAGACCCCAAAGCTGTCACTGGAGACAGGGACTTTGGAGGCTGGGACCGGCCCTGGGCGGGGGACACCGGGCACCCAGGTCTGACTGCCGCTGGGGACCAGGCGGGGTCGCCTCACCATGACCAAGATGTTGGGCAGCATGACGTAGTCGCCCTCGGAGCCTTGGGACTTCTCAGGCTGGAACTGGAGGACGCACCTCTCTCGGAAGGACACCGTGTCATTGTTGTGGAAGGAGATGTTTGTCTTGACCCTGAACTGCCTGGGACGGGGGGCGACGGTCAGTGGCCGAGGACACGCAGGGCCCCCTGGCCAGCAGCCAGGCTAGTGGGTCCCAACGCCACCTGTCTTTCCGCCGCCCCCAGGCCCCTCCGCCGGCCTCCTGTCCAGCAGGGTGGTCGGGGACAGGCCAGGCCTCAGTGCCCCCAGCTGGCTCACCTGTACACGTAGGGCCCACGCTCGCGCACCTCGGGCATCCTGCCCTGCAGGACCTCGTCAGGATTGAGGACATCAAAGAAGTAGACAGACATGTAGAAGGGCACCGGGATCTCCCGCCACATGCTGAAGGACAGGCTGCTGGGGTCGATGCGCACGTTCTGCAGGGGCAGGTAAGGGTTAGGGACTGGCGCTGGGGTGGGGGATTGCGGGCACCTCTGCAACAGCGCCCCGGGAAACCAAGAAGGAAGGGGGCTGGGTGTGCGAGGCTCCAACTCTTCCTATGGAAAAACCCAAACGCAAACCCAAATAAACACACCAAGGCGAGTAATACAGTAAGGGAGTGATCCGGGAACACCTGGCCAGTGCAAAGGCCCTGTGGCAGTAGCTGCTCCAGGAGGCTGTGGGCAGGCAGTGAGAACAGTATCTTCCCCACTGTCCCCACTGTATTGCAAGGCTGGGTGACCAGGGCAGCTGGCATGACCTTCTGCTGTCACTGAACACAGCCTTCCAGGACAATGAGGTCACCCCACTGTCCCCAACCAACCAGGAGCCACAGGCTCAGGCCCCAGCGGAGATGGGAGGCTGGGGCTATGTGCCTCAGCCCCCGGCAGGCGGGGCTGGTGACGCTGCTCCACACATGAGCTGCACAACAATGTGCCGGAAGTCGGGCTCGGTGCCCCAGTGCCCCCAGCTGTCTGGTGCCAGGTCCCCTCCTGGCCCATACCTCGGCCTCCAGGGAGTGGATGGGGAAACTGAAGCATGGTGGAGACTGCTGAGAGGCGCTGAGACATCTGAGGGTGGTGAGGGGATCCAGGGCTTCCCGGAGGAGGCGCGTGAGCTGGAGCCCGACTGTCCCCCAAACCACTCCCCACCCCTGCCAACCCCAGCCACACGGAGGCTCTCCCGGGTCCCTGGACACAGCTGGCCCTTCCTGTCCCCGACGCCATGTGGAAAAACCTCCCGGCTGCCCTGCCTGAGACACCCGCCCTTCCTGACATGGTCCCTCTGCAGTGACAGCTTCCTCAGACACAAGCCAGGCCCTGAGCTGCGGACAGAACCCGGCCAGGGCTCGAGCGCTGCTGCCCTGGTGCCTGGAACAGCACGGGGCTGGGCTGTAGACAAGTGGGGTGGGGTGGGGCGGGTGGTGGCCGTGTGAACCGGTGGATATAGCTGGAGGACAGAGCTCCCCAGGGATGACCAGGAGGACAAGGGACAGGACTGATACACTGCACCCGCCCAACTCGAGCCTCCTAGGGGAGCCCACCAGCGTTTTCTGCCTCCAGGGTAGATGTGGCATCCAGCCTGGCCTCTTGCTGGCCACAAGGGTCCAGAACCAGGGCAGGCGCAAAGCCCACATAGTCTTCCCGGAGTCTCAGAGACGCTCATTGACAGGAGGCCCCAAGGTCCTGGCCTTCTGCAGACGGCCATGAGAGCGCATGAGAGATAAGCAACAGGGCTCCCCACTTGCTCTGTGGGGTCCGGCTGCATGGAAACCGCCTCTCCACACAGAGGGGGAACGCCAGGCTGGACTCTGAGCCCCAAGGCCCAGGATCGAATGCACCTATAACCGGTGTCCTCCTCACGGCCAGGGCTGACCCTCCCAGCTCAGCTGCCACAGCCGGAAGTTGAGGGCAGAGCCCGGCTGCAGGGAGGTGCACCTCTCGGGGAGGTGTGCAAGCGACACCTCACTAAAGCTGTTAAAATTCAGACAAGGGGCTGGGGATTTAGCTCAGCAGCATAAGCACCTGCCTTGCAAGCAGGCGGTCATGAGTTCGATCCCTGGTACCGATAAAAATGAAAAAGACCAAAAAAAAAAAACACAGACAAGCCAGGCGCCCATCACCCCAACTACTCTGGAGGCTGAGGCAGGAAGATCCCAAGTCCGAGCCCACCCTGGGCCCCCTAGCAAGCCTCCTGTCACACACAGGAGGCTGGGCCCCGAGACACCGTCGACCCCTGCCCTGCGCCCGCTCACCCTGGCTCTGGGGGCAAATGGGGTCAACACAGTGGGTGACAGGGAGGGGACAGGCCAGGCACCAGCCCTGCTCCATCAGAGGCCACAGCCGAGCTCAGGCAAGGACAGCAGCCCCTGCACAGGGAGGTGACCCGTGGTGGCCACCTGGCAGGAGGTGAGCCTGCCCCACCCCCAGCCGGCAGGGCAGACTCTGCCTGTCCTTGACCCAGGGGTCACCGCTGACCAGGGGCAGTGATTAGATAACAGTACCATAGGGCAGTGCGGCCTTCAGCCGCTGGAGCTGAGGCTGTGGCTGTCCCCCTCCAAGGACAGAGAGCACAGCCCGGGGATGCAGGGTGGGAGCGGGTGCTGGGCTCAGCTCTGCCAGGCAGGAGGGCAACGGCGGGCACATGGCATCCTCGGAGCCCCTCTGGCACCCCAGGCCACAAATGCACAGGTCCCCCTCATGGGACAGGGCACCTTGGGGCCTGAGGCAGCCTACACCCCCCTGGGACACCGGAGCTTTCCTCCCCAGCCCCTGCAGCCCGGGGACCTCAGCAGCAGATCAGGGTGACATCCGCCGCGGGGCACCCCCTTTCTCCCAGCAGAGGGTCCTGCAGGGCACAGATGGCCCCTGCCACCCCAGGAGGCCATGCCCAGGATGCAGCCCCACCTCTCAAATCCTGTTGTTTAGACTCAAGAAGAAACAGGACAGACCTGCAGGGAGGTGGACCCTTTGTTCCCAGCCAGTTCCTTCCTCCACCACCGCTGCCCCCTCTGACCTCCGACATGGTCCCTCCAGGCCGCATCAGGCCAGAGCAGCTCAGGCGTACAGGCCCCAAGGACAGGGCTGGGGAGCGGGGCCGCTGGCCCGGGGGACCCCTGCTTCCCAGGAAGTGCTGGTGGAGTCAGACTAGGCCACGGACACCACTGTGCCACACTCCAGCCAAGCCTGGAGCTCAGCGCCCTCACGGCTCCGTCCCCCTCTGTGTCAGACACTGGCCTGGCCACCTGATGCTGCCCTGTTCACGAGTGTGGGAAACCCTTCGGAATAAATCCCTAAAAGTCAGGCCTGGTGGTGTACGCCTGTCGTCCCAGCACGGGGAGGCTGAGGCAGGTGGATTGCCATGTGTTCGAGGCCAGTGCGGGCACCTAACAAGACCATGTCTCAAATAAAAACACTTTAAATCCCCAATGTCTCCTCCACCAGAAGGTAACCATCAGACTGGGCTTTCCCCTTTCTTCAGGTGGACGGCAGACTCCGCCACGGGCCAAGGTGGCCCCCCGATATTGACTTTGCTGACCGAGCAGTCCACCCAGCAGACAGTTCGACATCTCGTACAGGGCCGAGGGCGGCGTGCCCTCCTCCCCTCCTCTCCTTCATTCCTGTGTTCCCAGCTGCTGCTCACTGGCTCAAGTGCCAGAGAAAATCCCACGGCGGGCATAGGCTAAGCAGCCCTCACGGCCCCCAGCGTCACTGCCCACACAGGGCCATCGCTGCCCCTACTCCCACCAAGACAGCACAACTTGGTTATGAATCGGATCGGGCAGAAAGCCCTGCATTCTTCAGCGGCTTAGGATCGCGCAGGCCTTGGACCCCTGCCTGCCAATGGGAAGGAAGGCAGGTCTGCCAGCCACATCTGCGGGCGGAAAGGTCCTCTTCCAGTAAAAATGTCTCCTCGGAGCCCTCACTGCGATTCCCCTCCCTTCTGACTTTGAATGATGTTGTATGAGGGTGCGAGGATGGGAGGTGCTGTGGCAACCACCATGAGACCATGAGGAGGAGGCCAGCAGTCCCACAGAGCCAGGCCCAGTGCCCTACAAATCCAGAAGCAAACACTTCCCAGGTCATGATTAGCGCTCGGCAGGAGGCACCTGTGGGTCTTTTGTTTCCCTTGTCATTTTGTTTGTGATACTGGGCACTGAGCTCCATCCCCTAAGGCAATAAACTTCCTCCTGCCTCAGCCTCCCACAGTGATGGGGTGACAGATGTGGGACACCATGCCTGGCATAACACCTGCCTCCATGAGCTGCCTGGGAGCCGGCAGCAACAGCTCCCCACGGGGGACTGTGAAGCTGCTCCGCGGCTGAGCCCTGAGCCGCACCCCACTCCTCAGGAGGCTGCGGTGGGAGATTCGAGTTTGAGCCAAGCCTGAAGCTCAAACCTGGGTCTCACCCTAAAGCCCCGACTCTGCTCTCTGCCTGGCAGACAGGCAGCTCCCACAGCTTTGTTTTTGTTATTTATTTTCTTAGGCAAGGTCTCACGTCAGAGTTCAGCCTGGCCTCAAACTCAGCAATCCTCCTGCCTCGGCCTCCTGAGGCCTTACATCATCAAACGGTTACACTGGACACTGGGCATTTGCTGTGTCCCTTCAGGCAGTGCCAAGCTCAGGGCCTAGGGAGGGCTGTGCCTGGCCGGGCCAGCCCCCACCTGCAGCAGGGCCTTGGCCACGGGCAGGAAGCAGCGATCCCTGACCCTGGGCTGCCCTCTGGCCCATCCCTGCCACAAGGACCCTGAGACCTCCCCGTCCCCAGGCACCCCCCGAGCGCTGGGATGGTGGCAGCTGTCCCTCACCTGGCTCCTTCCCCATTTTCATGGTGGTAAAACCCCACAAACTCCCCACTCGAGGCAGCCAGGGCTTTGCAATGTCGTGCTGCCGCCGCCCCAGCCCTGCGCCCACCCTCAGGGGCTCGGGCAAGAGCATGAACAGAACTGGCGTGAGTCCCTGAGTGACAGCTGCGTCCCTCAGCGCTGGCTGGGTCCCCAGGCCTGCTTGGCAGCTGGTCTGGTTTACAGCTCACCCCTCGGGTCCGGACGCCCCAGGGCTGTGACGGCGGCCACCAGCCAGCGTGCGGTGTGCAGCGGGCCCTCTGCTTGTCCCGCCTCTGACGGTGACAGGAGTGTCCTCCGCCTGCCTGCTGCCCCACCCGCGGCTGTCCGGCCCCTCACACCGCGCCATGCCATGCCTGCGGGTCACTTCCTGCCCGCCATCCACTGCCGTGTCCGTCCCTGAACAGGACACTCTGTGCCCAGAGGGCGAGGGCAGAAGGGCCCTCAGAACAAGGCCTCCGGTCACCTGCCTGCCTGGCTGCTTCTCCTCCAGCGCCCCTGCCCTTCCATCCACCCGCTGTGAAGTGGGGGTCCCTGCCCCTGCAGGGGTGACCCGGTCATGGCTGCACACAACACGAAGCACCAGTATCACT